TTTCAAATAACATATGACAAATTATTGACTGATCAAATGCTATTTTTTGATGAAGTATATGATTGTAAATATAATAAATATAAATTATATTAATTTACATTGATATTATATTTTATTTTATAGTTAGTTTTCCTAATTTTTTTTGTATATGATTAACTTTTGCAGTAGAGTATAATCTATTATTGGTAATTAGTAATAGCCAGCTAATAGTATCAAAGAAATGATGGAGTAGCCTGTTTCATTTTTCCATAAGAAATTAAAACTTTCATATTGCAGATGTAGCTATTACAGGGTTTTTGGCAATTTAATCTCTGCAATTGGCAAACTACTTTGTGTAATGGCTTTTATTGAAGGCAAGTTTTTATGATATTTTTGTCATTTTACATATCAGTAAATTATAATAGCTTTATGAATTTGATTTTTTTTATCATAACAGATTCCAAAATATTATTTCATATTAAATTTTTTATCATGCTTAGAGGATTTATATATAAGGAAACTAAATTGATTCTAAAAGAATGTAACCAAAAATCAAGTATTTCAAGTAAAAGCATACTACAAATAATTTGTTAAATATCGATTTCTGTTATAATTTAACTATGTTTACAGAAATTATTAAACAATAATGAGCTGTAAGTTTGTAGCTTTTAAACAAAAATACATATGCTTCCCTTTTAAATAGAATTACGCATTTTATATTATTTGTTTGGTGATTTGTTTGAAATTGAGCTCTGATCACAATCTTGTTCTCAAATTTTTAAAATTTGTTTTATACTTGTAATTAAAAAACAAATAAATTGTGTATAGGGCTATCTATCCAACATGAAATTATTTCAGATATAAAAATTAACAAATGAAAAAATAATAGTTTTATATGTAATTAAAATTAAATATTTATATATTCCAAATAAGTGAATTAATAATTGAAGCTAAAAAATAGATATATTACTGCAAACTTTAAAATACAAGTAATGTTTGTTTATGCATATAATCAATCTGAAAAGTTGATTAGCAGCCTTCACTTACCATTTTCTTACTTAAATACTGTATGTAAATACTATTATTGATGATTAGTGAATTGATCTATAATTATGAGGAGGATTTTTTTTCTTATGATTATTATTTTATTCAGTTATGAATCATCTTCAATAAACAGATTTTTTAAATTTAAATCTTAAGAGCTTTCTTTGAATGGTGAATAAATAAATATTTTTAAGTTTATTTTTTTTGCATTTACTTATGCTTTTATAAATGATACATTTTCAAGATTGCCGAATAGAAATTTTTATTATTCCCAGAATATTTTTTTCTTGTCAAATATAATTTCCATTCATAATCCCGAACTAAAATTTTAAAATGCATTTTTGCTTTTTTTCTAAATTTATAGTCAAAACCATTGAGCTATATGTAGAGCAGGTTTATTATTTGTAATGATTTAACTTAATGTTTTATAAAAAAAAATACTTTGGTTAAATAAATATTTAGTATTGTAATGATTGCTACTAAATTAATATATGTTAATAATGGGATTAAATAAACTTAATAAAATTATTTATTCATTAGAAGTTTGTTTCAAAGAACTTTTTACCTGTGTAATGTCTATTCAAATGTAAATTTCACTGTTAGATTTGACAATAGCAGGATAATTCATATAATTTATTCTAAATATATCATCTGAATGAATGAATTTCCCTAAGACTGACTAGTAGTAAATTGAATTAGTGCATTTGCTATATATACCTTTAGAAAAAACAAACCTAGATACATTTATTTTTTTCATTTATATTATAGATCCGTATGTAAAATTCATACTTGAATATTTTGACAATTAAAATAACATATAATGACTAATGCTATTGTAGTTACATTTTAAAATCTTTAGTATATATATACTTACAAAAACGATTAAGAACTATTTAAAAATTTTCAGTGTATGTATAAAATAGATAAAATAACTGGATTTCTAAACGTGGAAAAATACGTTTACATGACTTTTTTTCGTGATGAAGCGATTAATTCTAAATGTGTAAAACTCTCTTTAAAATAATTCGTGCAAAACTTCAACGTCTTCAGTTAAAGGAGACAAAATATTTTAGTTCTTTAGATAAATCGAGAAGAGTTTTCCATANTTCGATAATAAAAGTAATTTATTAACTGATTTCATTTTATAAAAATAAAATGAATTATTTCTCACATATTAATAAAAATTTTCCTTTTGAATTCGTACATAGAAGAATACATTTTTATAAACGATCAACTGTAAATTCAGTGTATTTTATATTCAATTTTTTCCATTTCTGGTTCTTTTCACTCTGTGGACACTAAGAGGGTCTTTTTCTATACTCATCGTAGATTCGGCCAGGCCCACAATGGAGGGACCGAATGGCTAAGGATTCAACGTATCTGTCATGGATATGTTGGATCGCTCATGAAAAATTCTTAAGGTTTTCTACCACCCAAATTCGATATCGAGTTTCCCAGAAGGTAGACTAACGCGTTAATTGCATCAACCATCCAGTCCAATATATCTTTTTTATTAATTTATATCGTATTTATTACATTTATAAATCGCATGATCTACAATAATTTTTACACGATATAAACTTTTTTTTTCGACAATTTTTTTTTTGTTTTATAAAACATTAACCAAAAGAAACGGATTTCTTAGCTTGCTTTAAAATCATATCATTCACAATACCTTTTAATATAAATAGAGATACACACAATTTGCGCAGAATTTTAAAAAGTATATTCTTACGTTTCGAACAGAATAGCTTACTCTGTAAACCGACTACAAATATATTTTAACCATTATTTTTTGATCAAATAATTACGATCGTGTCGTTTTGGAGAATTAATTTAACGAATAAACGTTATTTACTTATACAAAGTTATTTTAACTGCGTCGAGGAAAGTATAGTTTTCGCGACCTAATTTTGATTATTTATACACAACTAGCCTATATTTAACCCGATGCAAAAAAAATTGAACTGAAATTTAAAAAAATATATATATTGGATTACGTTTTTAATGTAATTGAAATTATTATATGCAAAAATTTATTACTAGAAATTATTTTAAAATCGATCGATTAAGTTTGATAGAGGAAAAAAAAATCCGTCTAAGATCGCTCGTATTTAAGTAAATACATAAAACTGCTAAAATACAAGATTTTATAACAATACATAAGAATTTCACAAATAATAAAATAAAATATTCCAGAAATTATGTTGTTATGAAGAGGTTTATAAAAATCGAACTTATCACCGGACGTCGTAGGTATTGGCGGTTATGGAGACGGATGGGCGTTATAAAGTCATCGTTTTAACGGAAGTGAAACCTTTTTGTATATATATAAAAATATATATGTGGAAACAATTCAAATTAATTCGCGGATTTATAAAGACGATTAAGAAAATCTACGCATGTCACTTAAAACTCAGCTATCGTAAGATCTAATTCTTAGACGATTATTGAAAATAAAAAAAAACGCACGTCGTTATACAGTTCCCTTTTAATTCTCAGTAGGAGGTCGAAATAAATTTTTTTATGCACAGAATCGTCCGTTAATCGGTTACCGGGGAGCTTTATAAACTACCCGATGTAGTAGTCACGTGATCTCCCTGCTGTGAACTGCAGCGCGTTCAGTAGCATTAACCGATTGTAGTACACAGTTGCGACTTCTAATAATCGATTCGAATGGAATTTGACACGAAATAGGATTGCGTTATATGCATTATTTTTTTAACGTTACGTAGTAATACGAAACGCCGTATTCGTAAATTATAATGCGTGTGTGAAAGATTAGATGCGTGTAAAAACAAGTTAGCAAAAACAACTTTTACTTTTTGTGTTATCACCGTTTCGAATTGTAGGAAGACTGCCCGATTTATATTCGATGTATAGCCTTTATCCTCTGTATCGCGTGAAAATTTATATAATATACGGTGTGTTTACTGATAAAATGTAAAACAATATTGTGTGTGTATATATATATATATAGTAAATGTGTATAATTTCAGAAAGAAAAATATATTTATTTTTTTAATGGATGTTTTGTTTGTTATTAAATTGAACACACAACGCGACATTAACGAAACATATAAATCTTAATAGACAGTTAATAATAATAAATTTTAATCAAGTTTATCTGTAGCAGTGTATAAACTATAAGCTGCTAATTCGCTCTTACGCCTGAACTGATCGGTTTGTGGTTTAACCTTGACTAGGATGTAGACAGAGTAAGCTTTCCGGTTCGCGGCGGAGTGTGTTACGTCATTTCTATACAATGAACTCTCATCAGTCGTAGGCATTGTGACAATGCCGTTGGTTCCGCGTGCTATAAGCAGGATAGTATCTATTTCTATATGCATTGAGTATAATTTATACCCTACCAAAGTGCAGAAAATCTATAAATAACTCGTGTTTCGTTCTGGCGGAAAATTTAAAAACATCAGTATTTATAAACTGGATTTATTTGCCACCGTACAATAAATTAAAATACGTATAAATAAATGAATTAAAAAACGTTTTTCCTTTCTCTTTTAGAATAATTTGCAAAATTTTTTGCAGTGATTAAAATGAAGCTGAATATTAGGTTTTTTTATTTTAATTAATTTTACATTTTTCTTTATTTAGGTGTGAGTGTTTAAGATAAATTTTAAAAATAAATTGTTTTTCTTTTCTCTTTTAGGTTAAATTTACAGTTTAATAACAATAATTATTAAATATTTACAGTTTAATAACAAGAATTATTAAATATTTACAGTTTAATAACAAGAATTATTAAATAAATAGCAAAACATTGTTAAATAAATAAAATACTTTTTATTCAAATAAAAAAAATACTTTTCAGGAATTTTTAAATAATTTTTACTAAAATCAGTTTTTAGCTTTTTTTTACAGATTAAATGCACATGTTTTCATTTGCAGAGTGATTATCATTTCAAATTTAATTTCATTGTTTATAGTAATGTAACATTGCCTTTTTTTATTTACAGTTTAATGAAGAAGTTTTCCAGAAAATTGGTCAGTCGGTGTGTTTATTGTAATGTTTTGAGAGCCACTCAACCTGATGTGTTGACTACGTAAGTAATTGTGATATATTTACTTAATTTGTAACATCTTCCAAATTTATTGTCAATACTTTTGCATTACATTTATAGATTTCTGAATGAGAGTGGCTGGGATACCATTAACAAGTGGCTACAGGATGCTCGTACCATTGAAAATCATGTGTTTTTATTGGAACTGTTGAGACTTTGCCAGATTTTACCTATGACTGTAGATAGGTTGAAACAAAATAACACTGCCAAGATAATTAAAACACTAACAAAAAGTGAAGATCAAGGTGATTATATCATTTTACGTTAAAAAAATAAAAAAAAATATGTTTATTTGTTTTTCATATATTTTCAAAAAATGTTTAATATGTTTTTCAGATTATAACAAATCATATTAATTCATCCTAATTATATATTACTGTTAAAAGACTCAAGAACTATATTTTTAAATTTTAATTTCAACAATATACAAGGTATTCAAAAAGTTGCAGGAATGAACATATAATATTAAAGAAACAATATTTTCTAATTTACATGTGATGAGTTTTATGTAATCCATGTAATAGTATTTATAGAATAAGGTGACCAGATGTCCTGTTTTTAAAATGCTGTGGGGCCACAGTGTTTTAAAAAAGTCTCGAGTTTTGGAAAGATTAAGTTTTTGTCAATTATGTATCATAAACTTATGTATTATGTATCATAAACTTATGTATTATGTATCATAAACTTATGTATTATGTTTATAAACTTATGTATTATGTATTATAAGTTTATGATACATAAGTTTATGTATCATAAACTTATGTATTACGATTTGTAAAGATCATTTTGTATCACACGTATCAGTATCAAGGTGTGTGTGAGCGAACATTGGAAATAAAGAATGCTGCTCTGACAAAACCATTTGTGTTCATGGCAAAGAGTGACAGAATGGTTTGGAGTGCGCAGCTGCAGCAATGGAGCAGTGCATGCTCATAGGCTGTCCAAATAAGCAAACATTTTGTTCATTGCATGTTACATGGCACAGAGTTCTAGTCTGTCACCGCCTTAGAAAGCTAGCAACTAGCGAGAATAAGCACATCTTTCATTGCAGTTCTTTATCAAGTTTATCAATGAATGCTACTATTTGAACTCACTCTGTATTTCTCTGAGTAATAATTTTATTGATGTAAACAAACAAAAAGAAAACAGCTTTAAAAATATTATCATCAGTCTAAAATTCTTGTCTAAAGACTTGAAATCTAAAAATTAGTCTAAAGATTTTGAAGACAGTCTAAAATCAGTCTAAAGACTTGAAGACAGTCTAAAAATCAGTCGAAAGACTTGAAGATATCAAAATAAAAATATTTTTATCAATTTTGATTATTACTGGATGACATAAAAGTAGTATAATTGAACATTTGTAATATTTGAATGTTGTAAATATTTAAAACTTTTATTTTTATATTTTCAAGATGTTAGATTTTTGATTAAAGATTAAGATAGTATAGTGCCAAGTTATACCTAAGTAAATAATTTTATCTAGAATTTTTATATCAAATTCCAAATAATTTGTCAATAAACTTTGTTCCTGTTTATTTAATCAAGACGATTAAAAAGAAATGGAAATTTTTTAAACAAGCTTTTGAGTTTTATAGTGGATGAGAGCCTTAAGATAAATGTCAACTCTGTGATAAGACTTTGTTTCTGAAATATGTAAAGGATAAAGTGAGGTGATGCCTTTTATCCTACTTTTATGAATATCAATTATATTTATCATTTTATGAACTTTTATCAATAAGCGATTTGTTATTTATGATTGTGAATGTTAAAATAATGAAAAAACTGTATGTTACATAAGTTTCTGCTTTATCGTCTTCAATATTTTATGTTCATTAAATAAAATATTTGAAGATCAATTCATCAAAATTATGGAAGAGTTATTTTCTTTCAAATTTACTTTAGAACTGTAATAAAATTGTTTTAACTACTTGTGACAAACATTAATTAAAAATTAATCTAAGTAATGAATTCATTTAAAATTTTACGTAGAGATCAATTCATCAAAATTATGGAAGAGTTATTTTCTTTCAAATTTACTTTAGAACTGTAATAGAATTGTTTTAACTACTTGTGACAAACATTAATTAAAAATTAATCTAAGTAATGAATTCATTTAAAATTTTACGTAGAGAAGAAATACAATCTTTACAATTTTTCCATTTTCATACTTCTGGAATAACAATTTTATTTGGTGGAGTCACTTTATCTTGAGGCTTCTCTTCACCTTGATATACTATAATTATTTAAAATTCCTGGTGATGGTATAAGTTTTTTAATGTAACAAATAGTAAAATAATTGAAACAGGATGAAATAAGAAAATAGTTCAGAAAAATAATTTTTTTCAAAAATATCTTTTTATTTTTAGTAATGTATCTGATGGTTTAAATTTAGGAAAATTATCTAAAATGCAAAACTATTTCTACAAGATTATTTTTGTACTTTTTAATACAGTAGAACCTCGAAAACTCGGCCTAATGTGGACCGAAGGGTAGCCGAGTTTGTGAAAATGCCGGGTTATCGGGAATGGGGTAAAAAAAATAAGTACGAGTGTTTCCTCAGAAAATACTGTACTGTACTTGTATGTATTGTTTACTTGAGAATATAACAGAGAATAAACTGCCCAAATACCCTTAAACAAAGGAAAAGTACGTCCTTTATGAAGGCATAGAGCCTTTACTACATGAAAATGAAAATTAATGAATACACTGTGTACAGTAATTTACCTGATAAGACAGACCTCAGAAAAATACTTTATGAGAGCTTTTATACTTTTATAAAGCTGTCTATAATGAAAATTAATTAACTAAGGATTTTTTTGCCCTGCCAGGGTGTGGCCGAGTTATCCGGAGTGTCGGGTTATCGAGAGCCGAGTTTTCGAGGTTCTACTGTAGTATTTTGTCTCTAGTTTTGCAATCTGCAGAATTATTTATGTATTAAATGTATATTTCTTACATTTAAAAATTAGATGTTTTATTAAACATATAAAATTTAATTCATTGATCAATTGATTTATATCTAATACAATTTTTATTTCAGATGTGAAAACATTAGCACTAGATGTTGTCAATGCCTGGATGTCATTAATTAAAGGTGAAAGATCAGAGAATTTAAATTCTGGTATGTAAATCATTTAAAAGAGTCTGTAATATTTCCAAAACAGTTTAAAACTCATAGATTCAAAATTAAGATATAAAATTTATTATTATTATATAAATATATATATTAAATATAGAACACTTCCGTGTTGCGGCATTATTGACAGCGATTTGTTAAATTTCAGATTTGTTCGCTAGTACTTTCAACAGTTCACAACCATCGTCTTCAGGCGAAATCGAATACCTTTGTTTTCTAATTGACAGCTTGTAACAGACTTTTCAAATTACGTAATGCACGTGGTTGGAATATAAAACAAATTAATAAAATTGAATAAATAAATATTTTTAAACAAACGTGCTGTAATAACTTGAACTCCCCAAAACATATAAATATTGAGTGATGGTGCCGTGCATGGTAGTGGAATAAAATCAGATCGCAAAATTATAACTTGGATTGTTTAGATAAAGTTATCCATAGCTGTGGTATTTCCAATATCGGCGCATTACACGGCAAAGCAGCAGATATGTAAAGGTTTTCCCATATGAATATTTGCCTACGATCATTGCAATGCTTAAGTAATTCAATGTGGTTCTAAAGTGGAAGATAATCTTGGTCTAGAACCTTTTTTGCTAATTCTGTAGCTGGTCTGTTATTTCTAATGTCCTCTTGATGTTCGAAGATGTGGGACCGTATCATTCTGGTGGTAGCTCCAATATAGATAATTTCCTCCCCTGATATTGAATGTTTTAATGGAATTTTATAAACCCCAATTTTTCATTTATCGTGAGAATGTCTGTATCATTGCACAATGTTCTTCGTAGTGATGGTTGAGGAGTTATAGGTAATATAAAACCGTGTTTCCTGAATATGTGTGTTATTTTTAGTGAGATGGTGCCCAAGTACAGTATTGGAGGGTTTATTATCTTTAGACCTTTCTTTGTTGCAGAGGAAAGATTTTGGAAACAATTTGTTTATGACCCGGTTTTAGAGATATTGATATTTAGAATTAGAATATCCGGCATTGTGCACTGCTCTTTTGATAATTTGTAATTCTTCATCAATTAATGCCTGGGAGGATGGAATGAGGAGCGCTCTCCGAATAAGCGGACGCCACAACACGGAAGAGTTCTATATTTAATTTCTAAACGTTGGCGTGAAGTGAACTATATTTTCATTCATGGAAATATATATATTTTATAGTTTATTAAATAATAATTTTCTACTAATACACATAAATTCCTTTTTTAAAAAGCTGCATTATACTTGTATAATGAAACTCACTTTAACAAATACTAAATATAACAAAATTAAAAATGAAATTTTTACTGTCTTGCACTTATTGTGTATTTTTATACAAAGTGCTTCATTTTAATGAATATCATTATTACAAATGGCAAATTAAATGTGATGATAATTCATCTTTATACAAAAAGAATGACAACAACAACGTGTACTTTATCTAGCAATAAAATTTTTTTTAATATCTCATTAAAAAGTTTTATTGCTAGATATTATTTTTACATTTGGCATCCAGTATGTAGTAATATAACAAGATTTATAACAATAACGTTACTAGCTAATTAGTTATCCAATGTACTGTCAAAAATCATTTAATTTAAATGATTCAATAATTACATAAACCAACATATACAAACCTGATGTACTGTACGGTACATATGTAATAAGCCAACTACTACTGGATTATATTGGGCTCTTATATTCAACAGTGTTATAGGGGGGTCGACTGTATTATCATTATCAACCCGTCTCGATTATGTATTAGATAGATATGTATTAAGTTTAGACCACCAAACATGTATACAAGTATAATGATTATTGAATACTACACTGATCAGACACATTTATCATTTACTGACATACGTACATACATATATAAAACTATATAAACTGGATTTTTTCTTTCTTTCTTTCTGTCACTGTATGCCAAAAATGGCCACTAGGGGCATCTCTAGCTATTATTTAAATTAACAATAAATTCAGTATATTATTATTTGATGCGGGTTTGTGTATTTTTGGCTGTGTTTTAGTAGGATACGCCATGAGAAATTCAGTGTATTATTATTTTTATTTGTAATAGGAATTTATTATTTATACCATGGAATGACACCACTGCTGCTAGAACACCCACTAGGGGGCGTCCCGGGCTTCTAGAATAGAAGGATTAGAAGTACGAAATAATCTAATAATCTTAATCGTTGTTGTTGTTGTTTTTTACCCGGGCAATGCCGGGCTCATCTGCTGGTATATATATATAATATTTGTGTTCTCATTCAACTCCATCAATATATTTTTGAAAATTGTGATGTTAAGTGTGAAACAATGTTTAATGATATCAGTTTTATCATATTTTAAGTAATATAAACAAGGTGCAATTCAGTTTAAAATATTCTAATTAGATTGTGCTTGCAATCTCCAGCATTTACATCTACAGCATCTACCTCATAGAATCAATTTTACTGTTTATAAAGAAGATTCAACAACAGCAATTATAAATGATACAAAGGCACTGTATGCTTTTTGAATGGCATTATAACAAAACATTAAGTGAGGACTTCATATACCAATAGTTATGTTTACATAATAGTATAAACTGTATAGTTTCATTATATTAACACAGTGATTCTCAATTTTTTTTTGTCACAGCACACTTTTAGTAATTTAAAAATTTGGTAGCACACTAACTATAAGATATATTTTTAAAAATTTTACTTGGTTAATTGAGGGATGTACCATACCTATAATATATTTTGTAAAAATAGTATACAATAATAATTTTCAACGAAATATAAAATTAAATTGCATTACAAAGTAAACAAAATGTTTATTTAATGATGAATTCGCACAAATAAAATGTGGAAAATTGTAATAAAACACTTAAAGCTTTTTGTGATATTGTCAGATGTTGATGTATGTAAGATTAATCCAGAATGAATTAGTTGATTCTTCTGAATGTTTTGAAATTAAAACTTGGGTTATTACACACTGAAATCAGTTCTTCCTCTTCTTACAAAGTTAACTCATACACTGACGTGTTATTTATCACAAATGGATTTTGAATCCAATCAAATTTTTTTTATTTTTAAATTTGGAAAGTAATGAACAATTTTTTGCTCTAGTATTGTCAAATGATCAATAACTATTTTATGAATTATTTTATAACAGTCTTTTGACTCAAAGTTTTCTAAACTACCTTTTTGTGCCTTATTCTTCCATAAAGTAATTTTTTTTAAATCCCAACTATTTATCAGTGGAGTTTAAAATATTTTCTTTCGGTCCTTGTATACTTGTATTTATGTTATTAAAAATAACAAAAATATCAGATAAAATATGGTGTGCTAAGATAGCTTACTTGTCATCCAACAAATCAACAAAATCATTATTATCTTGTTCAAAAAATAACCTTATCTCGTCTTTTAATTCAAGATAAAACTTTTCCTTTGGACAATCACTTAATTTCTGTTTGCAGTAACAATTCGTATTAGACTCCATAACCTGGCATAGTTGACTAAATAGGTGACTTTTTAATGGTCTTGATTTTATATAATCAATCATTTTAACACATTGTTCCAGCACTATTTTCAATTCTGATGGTAATTGTTTTGTAATGAATGTTTCCCAATGCAAAAAAACAATAGGAAACTAACATATCTGCATTATGTTCCTTTACATGTGCTACAAATCCTTTTATAGATCCAGTCATAGCTGGAGCACCATCTGTGCAAATGCCAATGCACAAATTCCACAAAGCTTTAATTTCTTGTAAATCGAAAATATGTTTTCCTGTTGTAAAATCAGAATTCATGACAACATAAAAATTGATTAATTATATCATTTTCGTGAATGAATCAAACAAATGCAATTAAGTGTGCTTTTTCCATGATATCAGTTGTTTCATTGATTTGTAGAGCAAAATTTTAATTTGCAAGAGTTTTAGCAGTATTTTCTTCAATATTTCAGGACAAGTCTATAATCCTGCGATGAATTGTGTCATTTGAAAGTGGTATTTTACAAATATCAATTTATTCTGATTCACTTATAATTCTTTTTACAATTTTACTGCAAGCAGGTAATATAATTTCTTCAGCCAAATTAAGAACAATTAATTCAGCCAGTTCATAAGAAGCTATCTGAGATTTTTCAGACACACTAAATTGCTTTTCAAAAACCTTTACTTGTTTGGATCTTGCAGATAATGATTTTTGAAAGTAGCTTTTGTTTTTTTATGCAAGCAAAGGATGATTAGTAAGCAAGTGATATTGGAGCTTGCTCAGAACCATAGCGCTATTTGACAATTTACTACCACATTCCACACACTCAGGAACAGTTTGATCATTATCTGTTGTAGAATTGTAGATGTAAATCCAAATTTTAAGAAGTTGTCATTATACTTACGATGAATATTACATTTTTTGGTGGAGAAAACATCTTTACTTAGACTGGGTTCGGGCTTATTAGCTTGATTGCTAACATTATCATTATTATCGTTAAACTTTCTTTCTTTTTTTTTTTTATCCATTTATGCATTTTAAGAGGTTCTTTTAAAATAAAAATAATTTTTCAAAAAATTATTAAAAACGACATATCATATATTACCTTTGAATCCATTTTAATTAAATTTGATAACACAATATTGTGGTATTGCACATGTGAAAGTGAATATATAAATTTAACCTAACCCAGAACTGTAATAGTCACACACGTTGGTTCAGCCAGTCCCTGCTAGAGGCACGTTTGTAAATTCTAACTGGTAACACCATGGTAACATTCAGAATCATATGACAATGATGATTCGACAAATTCATCAAACGAAGAAAATGAACTTGTAGAACTTTTTTAACAAGTATCGGGAAAAACTTATCTTTGTTTAATTTATACTGTGAAATCAATCCTTTTGTAGCATTTGCTGGCCGTTTTCCATACTGTATTGCCTCATCTGAATTTGGGAGGACATGGTTTTCTGATCTTGGTTGTTTTGTGTCACAAAAACAAAATGTTTTATTTTTTATAAATTTCTAATATCATGACCACATTCATCAGATGATACAATGTGTCTGCCATCTTGTAACCACTTTGTCACCATAGTTACTTCAGTAAGTACCGCAGAATAACTGGTGATGTCATAACAGTGATTTTTAAATGTGGTTGGTTATTTAGGTCACATTTTCTAAATGCCTTGATACCTATCAGCAGTTACTGGTAACACCAGTTACAATTTCCAAATGTGCCGTAGGAAGGTAGAATCGATTGAACTACTTGTCTGATGTCACTTATGTATGGGTATTTGCAGTGGTAGCACACTTCAGATCTTGCAGCACAGTGGTTGAGAATCACTGTATTAACTTATTGCTATATTTAACAAGTTCATAAAATTATATTAAAAGACAAATTTCATTTTCTTTAAAAGTAATTATCATGTATGGATATTTTTAATATTTGTAATATAAATAAAAGATATTCATTAATATTTAACTTTTCCCATAAGATAAAATGAAAAAGAAGAAGAAAAAGGATAAAGAAGAGAAAGATATTAAAGAGAAGGTAAAAGAAAACAAAGATAAATATATAAAAAGTGAAAGATTAAAAAGAGAAAATTCAGATGATAACCTAATGAATAAATATGAGGATGTTGTTATTAAAATGCCTCTGGATGAAGAACCTTTAATTAAAAAACCTAAACTTGATAGGCCAAAGACTGTGAAGACATATCAAGCAAAATTTCGATCCACAGGTTAGTAAATTTAATTTCTAATATGTTTTTTTTACTAATATTAATTTAATTGATAAAGTTAAGTTTCAATGAAGTGATTTGAATACAGAAATAAATATAAAAACATTTAAATGACAAATACAAATTACTCATTTATGTATGAGTTGAATTGCACAAATACTGACTTAAATACTCATAAGTATAGATCTCATAGTTACTGTGAACCTCCTGAATTAAGGACATTTTAAGAACAAAAACTTAAAATGCCCTTAATTTTTTAAATTTTATTTAATTTCTGAAATTTTAATTTATAAGAGATCTGATGTTCATAATTGATATCTATAAGTAAATACATCTTAAGGATATAGGAAATATATCTTGTGATTTTTATATTTCACAAGATATATTTTTTTCTGTATCATAAAATAGTGAATGTGCTGATAAAATTAAAGAAAGTAATCATAAAGAAATTTTTAATCTACAAATTTGGCACCATTATTATCAAATAAAATACTTTAAAAACTGCTTCTTAATTTAAGGAATCCAAATTCATTGAAGGAAATATTTTCAACTCCATTTGAGCCATTTTTCCTTAATGAACTTTGAAAAATTTTGTAGTTTTTGAAACTTACTCTCCAGAGCTGGCTCCAGAACTGAAAATGTTCTTTCGGTGAATTAATGAGTTTTATTTCTTCAAGAAGCAATTTTTAAAATATTTATTTCATATAAACTTGACCAGTAATCTGTGTATATATTGAAAGCAAAATTTCCGTCACTGCTGCACACAAATAACATAAATTTAAAAATTAATTTGATCTACAATTTGAAAATTTCAAAACAACTTTTAAATGTTTTTAAAAACAGTTTTCAAGTTTGAACAAATAAATTTTAATTTTTTTTTTGTGTCAATGGATAGAGACTAATCCAAAGGCGGGGTTAAACTCGAAAATGAAAAATATTTGAATAATTATAAATACCTTTTATTAACATATGCAAGATGATTGTATTGCAGATGGNTGAGCCATTTTTCCTTAATGAACTTTGAAAAATTTTGTAGTTTTTGAAACTTACTCTCCAGAGCTGGCTCCAGAACTGAAAATGTTCTTTCGGTGAATTAATGAGTTTTATTTCTTCAAGAAGCAATTTTTAAAATATTTATTTCATATAAACTTGACCAGTAATCTGTGTATATATTGAAAGCAAAATTTCCGTCACTGCTGCACACAAATAACATAAATTTAAAAATTAATTTGATCTACAATTTGAAAATTTCAAAACAACTTTTAAATGTTTTTAAAAACATTGTTTTAATTTTTAATTAATTTTGATATTATTTTAAATTTTAGATTTGGTTTCAGTGTAAAGGCCAGAGTTTAATTATTATTTTTAGTTTACTTTATTTAATATTAATTTTGTTTTAGTTTTTATAATTAATTTTAATATTTTATATTTAATTTTTCCTGCATTTTTAAATTTTCAATTACAATTTTAATTAATTGCAATTCTTTTTTTTCTTTTGAGACATAACTATAGAAATTGTTTTAGTGTTGTTTTGCACAAAAGATAATCAAATTTAAAGTTATTTTAAATTTTTTTGTAATTTCATTAATTTTTTTTGTAATTTCGTTAATTTTTTGTTTTATAAATATACTTGTTTAAAAAATTTTTTTTTAATTTTAATTATAAGCGAATTAACATTGACTGAACCATCAAGGTACACAGTTTCAAATCCAGGCCAGCGGTTGGCAAAAATATTTAAGTGTTGGCAAAACAGTTTAAAATATAACAAAATTATATAATATTTTTTCAATTGAAATATAAAATTATTTTTAATATTCAGTAAGTTTATTTATAATGATAAAACTACTATCTCATTATAATTATGAAAGTTTTTGTTGTGATTCACAGGTGATGATGTAATGTGTTCAATTTTTAAATGCAATTCACATGATTCTGAGTAAAAATAATTGTTTGCACTAATTTTACTGCCATTTGAATTTTAAAAATTGATTTTTTAAGATGAGTTGATCTGGATATTCATGGCTTAAGTCAGTGTTTTTCAACCTGTGGGTCGTGACCCCCCAGGGGGGTTGCAAAGCCTTACACAAGGGGTTAATCCATTGCAGTTGCTTATACCAGTTTGTGTCTATTTTTTTATTGAAAGGTTTCGTACTTTTTGGTTTCATTTTACTCACTATTTCTGTCCAAAACCTCAATTTTCTCACTAGTTTTGACTTGCATATGAGCTGCTCATTTGCCAAATCAATTAACTCCACAAAACAAAAAGTCTAAAAATTGATAATATAAATTATTTTTTAAAATTCCTTTTAAACTTTAAATTTAAATGAACATTGTAGAATGTATTTTTATACACTGTTATATTAAAGCATAGCTTTAATGTAATGATACATAAAATTAGTTACACAAAAAATGTAAAAATAATAGCGATTATATTAAGGATTTACAAATAGAGTTAATCGATTTGGCCTGTGAACGGCTCATATGTGCTAAAGCCCCCTGTGTTATATTATATTACAAAAATGTTTGAATTACAGTAGATTAACACTGAATTTTTTCCCAAATATACTGTGAAATTCATCTTTGTAGTCATGCAATTTCTTACAAGTGGAAGAAACTATTATTGTTATATGATAGAGCTTAGTTATATTAAAAAGTTGTGTTCTGTAAATATATACTTTAATTATAAAAAACAATATTTAATAAGCTTCTTATCGGAATTAATAATTATAAATGATGGTAATATATAGAATTAATCATATTTCTTATCTTCAAAATGAACAAAACTTAGTACCATATTTAAATATAAAGTTGAAGTATATGCTTAACATTCAGATATCTTTTTTTATCAAAACTGATATATATTTTATATTTTTGTCTGCTTAAAAGATTGAAATCAAAGGTAAAATAATTATTTATTATAAATAAATTATAATTTTGGTCAATATAATTTTAATTCTAGGATTGGAAGAGAATACACCATTGCCAAAAGATGTTACTAAAAAGATTCCTACAATTAATAGAAGTGAGGCAGTTGCTGCAGCCAAAAATGCTGTAAAAAAAATGAATACACCTAAAGATCTTCCTTATGGTGGGAAAAAAATAAAACCAGCTAGTTTAATTACTCCTGAAAATAGTCATGCAAATGTTGGTCTCATAAAATTGATTCCACCAAAACCTAAGCGTAAGTCTAATAGTTTTGTTTTTGTTTCATTGTGTGTTATATTTATTTTTGTCTTTTTATGTTATAATTTATTTGATATTGAACTCTGGGGAAACATAAAGAAGTTTTATGGAATTTTTCTTGATCAGAAACTTTGCAATAAAAATTTTTCTCAATAAAATTTTCTCTTGTTTGAATAGAAATTAATCTATTTTATTTAATTAAATTTTGTCTAAAAATAAGAATAATATGATTATTGGTTTTTTCTTTGCTGCATTATTATTATTATTATATTGATGTGCACAGGTGTTTAGGGATTGTTACCTCCTTGGTTAATACCAGTGCCATACCACACTAAGGTTAAGGCATAGCTACAGAAAAACAATTACTATAGTAACATGCTGTTTGTTTATCTATTTGTATTTAAGAATTTCCTGTTCATGCAGTATGTGTCAAGTTTGGCTGCTTTATGTAATGTGATGTGTGTACTGTTGTAAAGTTCTAATGTTTCTGGATTTTTGTATAGTGCATATGGTATTGTATTTATGCAAGAAAGAACAATGGGCACAATAAGGACAGTGCCTTATCCATTCTTCACAAATGCTGATTTAGTGAGAAAGTTCTGAGTATTTACTAATATTTTTCTGTGCTTGTATTTTGTTTACTGTGGAATTTGGAATTGCTATATCTATAATGTGTATTTTTTTCTTGTCTATAATAATTGCTATATTTATTATTGTAAGCAAAAGACCACTGATTTGAATACAGAAATAAATATAAAAACATTTAAATGACAAATACAAATTGCTCATTTATGTACGAGTTGAATTGCACAAATACTGACTTAAATACTCATAAGTATAGATCTCATAGTTACTGTGAACCTCCTGAATTAAGGACATTTTAAGAACAAAAACTTAAAATGCCCTTAATTTTTTAAATTTTATTTAATTTCTGAAATTTTAATTTATAAGAGATCTGATGTTCATAATTGATATCTATAAGTAAATACATCTTAAGGATATAGGAAATATATCTTGTGATTTTTATATTTCACAAGATATATTTTTTTCTGTATCATAAAATAGTGAATGTGCTGATAAAATTAAAGAAAGTAATCATAAAGAAATTTTTAATCTACAAATTTGGCACCATTATTATCAAATAAAATACTTTAAAAACTGCTTCTTAATTTAAGGAATCCAAATTCATTGAAGGAAATATTTTCAACTCCATTTGAGCCATTTTTCCTTAATGAACTTTGAAAAATTTTGTAGTTTTTGAAACTTACTCTCCAGAGCTGGCTCCAGAACTGAAAATGTTCTTTCGGTGAATTAATGAGTTTTATTTCTTCAAGAAGCAATTTTTAAAATATTTATTTCATATAAACTTGACCAGTAATCTGTGTATATATTGAAAGCAAAATTTCCGTCACTGCTGCACACAAATAACATAAATTTAAAAATTAATTTGATCTACAATTTGAAAATTTCAAAACAACTTTTAAATGTTTTTAAAAACATTGTTTTAATTTTTAATTAATTTTGATATTATTTTAAATTTTAGATTTGGTTTCAGTGTAAAGGCCAGAGTTTAATTATTATTTTTAGTTTACTTTATTTAATATTAATTTTGTTTTAGTTTTTATAATTAATTTTAATATTTTATATTTAATTTTTCCTGCATTTTTAAATTTTCAATTACAATTTTAATTAATTGCAATTCTTTTTTTTCTTTTGAGACATAACTATAGAAATTGTTTTAGTGTTGTTTTGCACAAAAGATAATCAAATTTAAAGTTATTTTAAATTTTTTTGTAATTTCATTAATTTTTTTTGTAATTTCGTTAATTTTTTGTTTTATAAATATACTTGTTTAAAAAATTTTTTTTTAATTTTAATTATAAGCGAATTAACATTGACTGAACCATCAAGGTACACAGTTTCAAATCCAGGCCAGCGGTTGGCAAAAATATTTAAGTGTTGGCAAAACAGTTTAAAATATAACAAAATTATATAATATTTTTTCAATTGAAATATAAAATTATTTTTAATATTCAGTAAGTTTATTTATAATGATAAAACTACTATCTCATTATAATTATGAAAGTTTTTGTTGTGATTCACAGGTGATGATGTAATGTGTTCAATTTTTAAATGCAATTCACATGATTCTGAGTAAAAATAATTGTTTGCACTAATTTTACTGCCATTTGAATTTTAAAAATTGATTTTTTAAGATGAGTTGATCTGGATATTCATGGCTTAAGTCAGTGTTTTTCAACCTGTGGGTCGTGACCCCCCAGGGGGGTTGCAAAGCCTTACACAAGGGGTTAATCCATTGCAGTTGCTTATACCAGTTTGTGTCTATTTTTTTATTGAAAGGTTTCGTACTTTTTGGTTTCATTTTACTCACTATTTCTGTCCAAAACCTCAATTTTCTCACTAGTTTTGACTTGCATATGAGCTGCTCATTTGCCAAATCAATTAACTCCACAAAACAAAAAGTCTAAAAATTGATAATATAAATTATTTTTTAAAATTCCTTTTAAACTTTAAATTTAAATGAACATTGTAGAATGTATTTTTATACACTGTTATATTAAAGCATAGCTTTAATGTAATGATACATAAAATTAGTTACACAAAAAATGTAAAAATAATAGCGATTATATTAAGGATTTACAAATAGAGTTAATCGATTTGGCCTGTGAACGGCTCATATGTGCTAAAGCCCCCTGTGTTATATTATATTACAAAAATGTTTGAATTACAGTAGATTAACACTGAATTTTTTCCCAAATATACTGTGAAATTCATCTTTGTAGTCATGCAATTTCTTACAAGTGGAAGAAACTATTATTGTTATATGATAGAGCTTAGTTATATTAAAAAGTTGTGTTCTGTAAATATATACTTTAATTATAAAAAACAATATTTAATAAGCTTCTTATCGGAATTAATAATTATAAATGATGGTAATATATAGAATTAATCATATTTCTTATCTTCAAAATGAACAAAACTTAGTACCATTTTTAAATATAAAGTTGAAGTATATGCTTAACATTCAGATATCTTTTTTTATCAAAACTGATATATATTTTATATTTTTGTCTGCTTAAAAGATTGAAATCAAAGGTAAAATAATTATTTATTATAAATAAATTATAATTTTGGTCAATATAATTTTAATTCTAGGATTGGAAGAGAATACACCATTGCCAAAAGATGTTACTAAAAAGATTCCTACAATTAATAGAAGTGAGGCAGTTGCTGCAGCCAAAAATGCTGTAAAAAAAATGAATACACCTAAAGATCTTCCTTATGGTGGGAAAAAAATAAAACCAGCTAGTTTAATTACTCCTGAAAATAGTCATGCAAATGTTGGTCTCATAAAATTGATTCCACCAAAACCTAAGCGTAAGTCTAATAGTTTTGTTTTTGTTTCATTGTGTGTTATATTTATTTTTGTCTTTTTATGTTATAATTTATTTGATATTGAACTCTGGGGAAACATAAAGAAGTTTTATGGAATTTTTCTTGATCAGAAACTTTGCAATAAAAATTTTTCTCAATAAAATTTTCTCTTGTTTGAATAGAAATTAATCTATTTTATTTAATTAAATTTTGTCTAAAAATAAGAATAATATGATTATTGGTTTTTTCTTTGCTGCATTATTATTATTATTATATTGATGTGCACAGGTGTTTAGGGATTGTTACCTCCTTGGTTAATACCAGTGCCATACCACACTAAGGTTAAGGCATAGCTACAGAAAAACAATTACTATAGTAACATGCTGTTTGTTTATCTATTTGTATTTAAGAATTTCCTGTTCATGCAGTATGTGTCAAGTTTGGCTGCTTTATGTAATGTGATGTGTGTACTGTTGTAAAGTTCTAATGTTTCTGGATTTTTGTATAGTGCATATGGTATTGTATTTATGCAAGAAAGAACAATGGGCACAATAAGGACAGTGCCTTATCCATTCTTCACAAATGCTGATTTAGTGAGAAAGTTCTGAGTATTTACTAATATTTTTCTGTGCTTGTATTTTGTTTACTGTGGAATTTGGAATTGCTATATCTATAATGTGTATTTTTTTCTTGTCTATAATAATTGCTATATTTATTATTGTAAGCAAAAGACCACTGAACAGACAAGTATGAAAAGTATAAAATTAAATTTTAACTAATTTTAGAATTAAATTAATCTGAACGAAGTTAATAATTTAGTTATAATTTATTTAAAATATAAAAACTTTGAAAAAATTGTGTGCATGTATGTAAAAAATATATTTCTGTACATTTTTGTTTTTGAACTACAGGTAGCCCTCAGTTTACGCTGCAGTTCTGTTCCTACAAAAGCCGGCGTAAAACGAGCCCATATTTACACTGAGGTAAAGGGTTAGGTTCCACTTAAGTGAAAAATATGCAAATAATTTCGTTTATTAATACAATATAATACAAAGTACAAATAAATTTAATTTTTTAAATGTATTTTATCATAAAATAAAGTTAAATGTTTTTATTAAAATTTTAGTTTTCGATCTCTTACATTTTTCAGAAAAAGTATTCATCTTTAATTGTTTACATTTTTGTTTTCTTTCATTGAGAATTTCGGAATATGGTCGAATGGATGCGATGATGCTCCATTTTACATTTGCACTTCGCTCCCAATCATGATCTAACTCACAAAGTTCATCTGTCAAACTTTCCATAGTTGAAAGGATATGTTAACCCAACATAGAGCTACGGACGAGCGGAGACACTGATTGGTTGACCACCAGTCGCCGTAGTGCATATGTAAGGTCAGTTTGAGCGGGAAAATTAAGGATAGATAGATATCGTCTGGCCAACGAGAAGTAGATTTGTCTCACTAACGATAGTTTGTGATCGGCGGAAGTGCTACTGCGTCATAAGGTGTTTTCCTGAACAAATTGATACGGGATAAATTCAATGGCGCTATGGATTCGGACGCCATTTATTGGACTATTAAGTTTGATAACTTGACTCGTGGGTACCTAAACGTTTAGTATTTTAATATTAATTTAATGCAAATGTATACATACCCAATAATATTAAACAGAAAAAATAAATATATTCAATAAAAATCTTTGTTTTAACGAATGTACAATGTCGCGGCTCGGTAAATACGTCAACACTGAAACGAAAATCAGTCTGGCATAGGGAAAATCAGGGAATTACACAGCAAAATCGCGAATTGTACAGCGGTGTTATTGTGAATTGGCGTAAATTGAACCGGCATAAACCGAGGGCTACCTGTATAACATTATCATAGAGACACATTTCATCTAAATACACTTTTATTATGAAGAGTTTTTAAAGTACAAGTAAGACAAAATATATCTTGTTAATGATTATAATTACATATATTATTAATAATTTATAATTTATTAAGAAGAAATGTGATTTTAAGTATTTTTTCCTGTAGCTATTCATATTCTTCAAGAAAGTGCAAGTTTTGTGGATGCATTAGTATCTGCTCCAACACAGCCTATTCGGAGGAAAAAGAAAAATTCATCAGGGAAACCTCCTACTCCAACAACACCACCTTCACCTGTAAATACACCGCCTAAGCTTCAGGTATTATTTGTATTTAGGAATTTTATTTATAAGAATTTAATTCAAAATAATTTTATATAAAATATTAAGACCTACAATTATCAAATAATATTCTTGTTTAGAATTTAAAATAATCATTCATTATTATTAAAACATTTAAGTGTAATAAACTTACAGTGATATAGTTTTTCTGATTAGTATAGAATTAAAAAGATTCCAGTTTGTATGTAGGAAATTGTTATAAAAGAATTTCAAAAGTTTGTTTCACCTATAATTTTTTAAATTTCTTTTCACATTTATCAATAATTATTACTTAATGCTGCACAAAGATTTTGGCATTATGATAACTGTTAGGTAGTAACTTTTTATGGAAATCAAATCTTTATTTCACTGAAAAACATTTTCAAGTTCAGTTGAGCCATCTTCAAATACAAATATTTTACAAACTTCTCCAAATTCATTATGTAATAATAGAACAAAAAGTTTTGTTTTTTATTGAGTTTGTTACAGAATATTAGTTTTAAATTGCTTTCTTAAACATGGCACAGACATTCGTAAATTGTACCACATATTAGAAAGTGATTTAAAACTAATATTCTATAATGAACTTGATGGAAGGGTTTGTCCCATAGGAATTCAAAACTTTTTGTTCTAATATTACATAAATTCAGAGAAATTATTAATGTTTTTTAAACCGAAATTTCAGAATATGAAATAAAAAGAAATCCAACTAATGTAATGTTTTATTAATTTTATATTTGAATTTTTTTATAGTCAAATCAATTTTGATTTGCAAGAAAATTGTTTTGTATTATAAAGCTAATTAAAAATATGTGCATTAAATTAATTGGAAATTTTATTTCACAAGAAAATTTCATATCTTTGTAATGATTATGTTTCCATTGAATGTCAAATATCTTAGAGAAAATTTCTCTCATGTACTGTTTTTGTGCCTTTTTTGGAAATCATTAGAGTATCTTTTTTAAACTCAGATACTTTTGGATGTTTAAATGATTGGATTGCTTATCTGTTTGAAGTGTTTTAACTCAAATTGAATAATAATTAAGAAATGAAAAATATTTCAAATAAAGACACCACAACTGCCATAAATAATTAGGCTATAATTTGGAAATATTAATTAAGAATTATAGCCTGATTATTTATGACAGTTGTGGGTGTCTATTTGCTATGCGTCAGATTTCGGTTGGTGTTTATATTTGTATATTTCAAATATCCTATGCAATAGAATGCATTAATTTTTATCTTAATACACTGTAAAAATGATAAAGTCAAACAAAATTGATTGATAGTATAATTGCTACAATTTATTACAACTATATTTCAGTACAAAAGAGAGACCTACTAAATATTAACATTTGTGTAGGGAGAAAGATGAAGTTTGTTAAAAACAAAAAGTAATAAATTAATATTATATAATTTTTAAATGAGATGTAAAAATAAAAAAATTTTTGCTATGGTATCAATGAATATTATTGATGATTTTTTCAAACCTTTAGTAAATGTAAAATGTGTCTAAATATGAAGCATAAGTTAATTACTTAAAGCATGTGAATTTTTACTTGAAGATTGATAGAAAGTTTTCTGATATACAAACATGTCTTTTCTTTAACACACAATAATTTATAAATTAAGTAATTTATTATTATTATCTACTTGTACTAAAATTTATCATCTTAAATAAAGAACAGTTTGAAATATTAGAAATTATAACCATTTATTAATAGTTAAATATTGGTATATCAAAACTACAATAAACTATTGATATTGNATAATACAAGAATAAATTAAAAAATAATAATAATTATTTTTTAATTTAATTATTTTTACTAGTTTTATAAAGACACTTTAGAAATGTCTAGTGAGACAACAGAAGAAAAAGAAGAGGAAGATAAAGATAAAGAAGAGCCTAAAAAGGATGAAACAAATCATGAAGATGATGATGAAGAAAAAAGTGATGAACCAGCATTGAATGCTAAAGGTATTTATTTAGCTTTATTTAAAATTATGTATGTAATTCTCATTGTTGTTTTATAAAACTGTTTATTCAACGTAATTAATTTAATCACTAGATATTGACTCAGAGAAAGAAGAAATTAAACCAAGAAAAAAATCAGAAAATGGTCAGTTATGTTCAATTCTTATTCATGGGAAAAGACGTGAAAAGAAAAAATCTGTTAGATGGGCAGAAGAAAGTGAACTTAAACAAGTTTTTCACTTTGAGATGGATGAAACTGAGAGAGGTAAAATTTGGTTTTTATAAAAAATTTGTACGTATGAGTTAAACGATATTCAAAGTACTAAACTATAATAATAATTTTTAATTGTAGTTAACGTTAATCATGTACATAATTTTGGTGATCTCAAATCTATGGAAATAAAACGAGAGAGGAAAGCATTTGAAACAGCAAGAAGACTTATGGGAGATAAAATGCAAGAAGCAATTCCTGTAATTATGAAACATTTATAATTTTTATAAGTTATTAATTAATTTTTTTAATAAATTGTGAATCTTTGATGTAAATGAAGTAGTAATTTTATTATTCAACTGTTATCTTATTAATTACAGCTTACCTTCTAAAATAATCAGTGTCACATTTACTATATAAACTAGTGAATTTTAATTCACTTTACAAGAGTTAATCTGGTGACATTTTTTATATGCAGATATTGATGATCATAAAAAGGCATCAATATTTTTTATTCAATATATAATGTATAAGAAATTTAATTTGTTTAATAACTTGCTTTCAAATTATTTAACTTTTAGATTTATGAATATGAAATGCTTAACTATGAGTTAATACTTTTCATTATTGCTATAAAAATATAAATTATTTTAACATTTCTTTAATACTTAAAATGTTTACATGAGAATTTGTATTTATATATAAATTTTAAAATGATTTTTAAATTGAGAAAAAATTTATTAATTGATAGAAGTTTTGTCTTGGAAAAAAATAAGACAATTACATAAGTATATATTATTTCAATTACAACAAATAAAAATTGGATTCAAAAAGACATCTACGGAGGTGTGCAAAAATTTGCATTAGCTATTGGTAAAATTGTGTTTTATGCCACCTGCAACATTATGAATGATTGCTTCATAATAATTGTATCATGAATGCTTTGGGTGGTATAAAAGCATTGTGGAGTGATTACTTTTGGCTCATTTCATTGTTAATGTCTCATTTTATTCATGATAGGTACATCAATGAACTTGGCCTTTGCTTTTCACAAGTTGTGTTGAAAGCTGTTTTATTTCGGTTTAATTAATTCATTAAATAAATATGTTCTGTTTAAGGATAAAAAGTGTTGAATGTTTTTTTTTCATTTACAACAGTTTACAGTGGTATTATGCAGCTTAAATACTGTTTTTAGTACCGATTACTGAATGCAAATGTGATGCAATTTTTTTGCACACCTCTGTATACTGGCTGTTATAGATAACAGGTTTCAATTATATGATTAGAGGATTATCTACTGTATTATTTTACTATTTTCAAGGAGAAATTTTTAAAACTAAATATTTACATTGACTACAACTTTCTAAAAGGAACCAGCTTTATTAATTTAACATTACCTCTAAATCAGTAATGATAGAGAAGAATATTTATCTCATTATTTTGAGACGTTTTTTAAACTTTGCCTTTTTAAATATAACCTTTTTACTTGTAAATCTGAATTATTTCGTATAATTAAATAAATAATTTAAATATGACAATACTTCATAGTTAATTTAAGTTAATAACTAATTCTAAAATTATGTTTTGAAAAATGAACTTTTTATTTTACAGAAATTCATATGTATAAACATATATAGTACTGTGATCAAAAAGTTTTTGCAAAAAGTATTGGGAATGGTTCATTTAAACTGTGCACATGCAAGAGGCACTGTAGTCATTTTTTCATCATTTGGTACAACTTTCATGGACATCTAGCAGCAATCTGTAGGTCATCGTCTGTTTTTGTTTGCAAAAAAAAAAAGAAACTTGTTTTTTTATGTAAAGAATTTTTGTAAAGATTTTTCAAAAGGTCGAATGTATTTGAACAAAGAGCATTAAATTTTATTTTCACAACATAATTTCCGCTACAAAAACATTGGAAATGTTGCGAAAAGCCTTTGGTTGTGATAGTCTATCAAAAACAAGAGTTTTCAAGTGGTATATGTTCAAGGAAGGCAAAGAAGATCTTGAATATGAACCTAGCTCTGCTAAACTGTCCACTGTAACTGATGAATAAATAACATATTGTTCAAGTCAGCGATTTNATTAGTGATCAAATTGAATTAAAATTTGTTGAAAATTATTTATAAAAATTACAATTTATGTTTGCAGGTTACCAGATTCTCCTCATGAACCAGAGCAAGAAATTGTTAATCCACAGGAACCTAAAACAATTCCTTTAGAAGATGTAAGACTGATTTTCACCCACTGTAACTGATGAATAAATAACATATTGTTCAAGTCAGCGATTTGGTGTTCAATGAATGGTGTTCATTTAACAATTAGGGATATTATTGAACTCTTCCATTATCATTTGGATCTTGTCAAGCAATTTTAAAAGACTCTCAGTGTGACTTGGGATGTGATGCAATGTTGAATTTTTTTGAAAAACATGTTTGAGAGACTGAGGAAATGCTTTCTCAAGGCAAATTGTTCTTCAAATGCATTGTGCAACGAAACATGGATCTATGCTTTTGACACAAAACAATTCAACAATCAAATGAATGGCACCAAAATGTGAAGCAAGACCAAAGTCCTTGTCAAAGTCAGTCAAAAATCAAGGTATATTGACTGTTCTCTTTGATTTTGATGATTATGTGAATCACAAATTCCTTTCAACTGACCAAACTGTCAACAAAGAATATTATTTGAGCATTTTGAATCATTTGTGTAAAGCAATTTCTAGAAAATCCAATTTGTGATGAGAAAACTCATTGATGGATTTTGCACATGATAATGCACTTGCTCATCAATTTTAGGTCAAAATCTCAACAAATACAGTTCCCCAGACTCCATATTCACCTGATATGATACATTTTCCTGTTTCCTAGACTAAAATTTCTACTTTATGGTAACTGTTTTGAGTGAATTGATGCCATAAAACAAAATTCATGGAGTCATCCTGAAGGGGTTTTGCAAAAATGGTTTTGAAGCATGTTTCGAGGATTGGAAAAAATGTTGGCATAAGTGCTTTAAAGTGGGAGAGGTATATTTTGAAAGGGATGAAATAAATTTTGATGAATAAATTCAAATCTTACATTTTATTGAACCATTCCTAAATCTTTTTGATTACAGGAGTAAAATTATTACCGAATTATTTATTTTTAAATATATTTTCTAAAATTTAATATTACAATATGTATAACGATTATTATTATTATTATTATTATTATTATTATTATTATTATTAAACTTCCTGACACACCAGGTTGAAGTAAGATGATTTAAANGTTTTCTGATAAATTATTTTTCTGCGAAAAATTCGCTGAACTTTGGAGACATCATTAATATAAATATAATTTTTATGCTCGTTGAATAAGAAATGTTTTTTTTCACAAGAAATGTATAAAATTACAGTACTGTAATAGACTTACGGTACCTAATTTATATACTGTACAGACGATAGTAAACTCAACTTACCCGCCTAAACTCTCCGTAGCGTAAGTAGTTCGGCTGCTCGTCCACTATTGATCCAGATTCGACCAATCCTGTCGCGACACGAGTCGGTGACGACGTTCTACCGTATTTTATGAGTCTCTTTTAGCGTCTTTATACGAATACGGTCGCAATTTTTTCGCCGCGATATACGAATCCGCATTATATGAACCCGCGTTATAGGGGGGTCGACTGTATTGCACTACGTAAGTGTAACTCTCAACTTATGCGAACAGGCAACTGAAATCTTAGGGTACAGTTCATTCATGAAGTTGAAGAAGTTAAAGGATTGTTTACTCAGTCATAAAGTACCATTATAGTACGAGTGATGTTTATTTCCGATAGGCAGTATACGGCTCCTATTGTGCCTTGCTTTATGTATCACTAAAATTTAAAACTTTCAGAAAAAGGAATGATTTTCTTAAATAAATATACTGTGTATGGTGTATACCAGTGTTCTGCAACTTTTTTCTACTCGCGGCACACCTATGACTCGACACGACTCAATAGAGCACACCAAAATGTTATTCCCCTCAAAAACGTATGATATGATACTATTAATAGAATTTCGTAATGCCATAAACCTATTATTATTATTATTATTATTATTATTAAACTTCCTGACACACCAGGTTGAAATTTAAATCATCTTACTTCAAACCAAATGACTGGAGCAAAAAATGTTTCTTTAGTGCTAACATTTTTGATGCACCTCTGGGGCTCTTCTTCAGGCACTTAGAAGGCATTCAATTTTGTATTCCAAAAAAATCGAATGCTTTCTAAAGAAGTTCAAAAGTTTAAGGAACAGATTGCAATGGATTTAAATAAATGCCTGAAGAAGAGCCCAGGAGGGGCGTCAAAAACATTAGCACTAAAGAAACATTTTTTGCTCTAGTCATTTGGTTTGAAGTAAGATGATTTAAATAATAATGATTATTTTTATTATTAAGTGATTTGTATAAGACAATTTTAAAATTACTTATAAAGCTGGGAGATATATGTATATACCTGAATTTTTTTTTTGTAGTGGGCAGAACTTATACCCATTGATTTACCTGCTACACAAACTGTTGAGAGGGGATATAACAGCAGGGAAAAAGACATTCAAATGGTCCATCAACAATCTACATTACAAGATATTTATTTCTCTAGAGATATGTAAGTTACTGTTGACATCTGTTGACTTATTCACATTATTCTCAAGTTTATTAAATATATTATAAAACTTTACATTTTATTTTTAAATAATATAGATCTATAGTTTTCAAAACTTTAAATACAAAGATTTACTTAATTAATTAAAAGATTAATATAATAGTACCAGTGAAATATGATTAACATTAGAATTAGATCAAATTGATCTGAATATCAAAATGTTTTAAAACTTAAGTGTAACCAGCAATAAACTTTAAACTTCTGTTTAACATGAAAATAGTCAATTGTATTTATCTGTATTTTTAAATTCTATGTTTACGATATTTTCAATTATCTACATCGACAAAGTTAATTTTTTAAGTCATTTCTTAATTCTAGGGTATGATGAAAAGTAATTTGGGTTTTCTAGATATTTTATTTGAATTTTTATTACATTCAGTTTTTATTCTGAGAACTTACTAAAGAAAATGATTTTTTAAATTTAGATTTGCTTTTTCATTTAAAATTAATTTTTGTATTACAAAAATAAACAAAATTTACCGACTGAAATATTGATGGAACTCAATATTTGATGTTTATTTACCCATAACTAAATCCTCAAAGTATATTTGTGCTATTTCTGTTCTTTTGAATTTATCTGCTGTATAGAATTAATCCAATAATTAGTTCTATACAGCAGATAAATTCAAATTTTTAATAATTAATTTTTCCACAGTTATATCTGGTTGTTCAGTTAAAACCATATTTTAAATATGACTTAACAGATGTTAGTTAATCATAAATACTATATATTTTTATTTACATTAATTAGATGTCATTTTAATACAAAATTCATAAACATTTATATATTAGATGCTCTATGGACTGCATGTTGTCTTTTAAAATTAATAATTTTATTTATGAATTATTAGTGATCAAATTGAATTAAAATTTGTTGAAAATTATTTATAAAAATTACAATTTATGTTTGCAGGTTACCAGATTCTCCTCATGAACCAGAGCAAGAAATTGTTAATCCACAGGAACCTAAAACAATTCCTTTAGAAGATGTAAGACTGATTTTCACTTTGTTTTTTATTTGAATTAATGATAAAATTTAACAATTAAAATAAATAATTGTTGTTATATTTTTAGGATAATAATCCTGGTAATATAATGGACTACTCAATGTCAGAATTACCACCTCCCAAGATGGATATTCCTCCAGTTTTATCAAATTTAATGATGTCTATAAGCAATCAAGATAGGCATCCACAATTACAAATGGAACAGGTATATATTCATTTTTTAAATTGTTATAATTATATAATATATTCTTAATGAAAAATAAAAGTTCTTTATTTTATGATTTTTTTTATGTAAAATGTTTTAATAACTATAAGATTAAATATTACATTTGATTAGGTTTTTGTTGAGACTGTTTGAACAAAAGCCCTCCAATATGGTTTTTCATGGACAAAATCTTGTCACATATCTAAGAATATTCCATAAATGTCCTTGATTCCATTTATCCATTTGTCTTTCTCTTTGTCTCCATCTATCAGTTTTGACAAGCATGATTTCTTTTTCCAATTTATTATCAGTGTGCATTACATGATTGAAATACAACAGCTGCTGCCTACAGATCAGTGTCTTGAGGGCAACTGGGTTTAGTTTCGTCTATCACTGCTTAGATTGAATGTTTTTTTTTCCTTGGAATCATTTTCAGGTTTACTGTTCAAAGGCAACAATTCTTTTATTTTCTTGCTCCCCCTGAAAGTCCTGTTCTTAAGGACACAAAGGCATATAAATTGATTAACTAAATAATTTTAAGATAAATCATCAACTGGGACATATCTATTATTAGGACTTATTATACTGGATAACTGGTTCTGCAAATTAAGTAAACATATTCAGAAAAAAACAGTCTTTATTTATCACCTGTGATAAATAAAGACTGTTTTTCTGAATTTGCAGAACCAGTTATCCAGTATAATAAGTCCTAATAATAGATATGTTCTAGTTGACAATTTATCTTAAAATTATCCAATTCTTAATCCATGCATCACTTACTATAGGAAAGACCATTACCTGAAAATTTTGTTGTCATTGATATATCACTATCCTTTATAATTTTCTGTAAATTACATATTGCTTTTCTCTGAAGGAATAATCTTTCCTTGATTTCTACAATACACAATTCATCTTCATTTTTTTTGATTTCTAGAATAAAGTTGTCCACAGCCAAAATATAAATACCATAACCATCATGACTTTCGTCTTTTTGAAATTAGCTTTAAACTTTATATGTTTATTAGAGTACAAAATTTAGATTCAGATCATTACTAATGCAATGTTTTTTGCAGAATTTACTTTTGTCAGGTGATCAATAAAAACTTCTGGCAGACCCTCATATAAACAGACTTATTCTATCTTGAATAAGGTTATTAACAATAGCTTTTACATCCCAGTTTAAAATTGATGGTCCTGTTTGTTATCATTATTTTAGCAACTTTCTTGTTTTTTAAAAAAAAAACTAAATAAATTAGGCTATGTGAATAGTTGAGCAGCAAGTAAAGAGTCAAGTAATAAGTCTACCAGAGAATCGAGGCAGCAAAGAGATTAGAGATTTTTATTCATTTTGGATAAAAGAATTATATAACATAAAAAGATTATAACATTGTTCAAAACAGAACAATGTTAAAAAAAGCATTTTTACTTACTTTATTTAGGCTTCATCAGTTAAAACATATTTCAAAGTTGTAATAATCATTCTGTTCAAATATTATTTAATTTTTAGAAGCTGCATTCCAAAGAAAAATTACACATTACAATGTCAGGATGCCACATATTTATTGTGTTTTTTAATTTATTTACTTACTTTTTTAAGGTGAAAATATTTTTATGATATTCACAGAGATATACTAAAATAATTTTAGAGTTATTAATTTATTTGTTCTAAAGAAAATGTATTTGTTTAAATTCTGAATGGTAAACATAGGTTGAACTACATTTGAGAAACATGAAAACGTCACATCTTTTGTATTTGTGGGATGTCTGAAAAGTTACTGTGCAATGAGAAATTTATGGCATTAGTTATATGTACAGTATTGCATACCAGACTGTAAGGTGTATGCAATACTATACAGTGAGAAATTTATACATACAGTATCTTCTTGGACACCCTATATATACTTCTTGTGAAGTTTATCAATCCAGTGGCTAATTAAGACCCGTGCCCAAATGATACATTTGGGCACGGGTCTTAATTATAATGTTGCAAAATCCTGTTAATATATCTCAATAAGAAACAGAAGTTTCATGAAATATCAATTCAGTTTTAAATATTTATACTATAAATTAGTTATATGTTGTATCAATATTTTAATGTTTTAAACAACATATCATTCAATACCTTATAAAATAAAAAAATTGTTTTTCATTTCAGACAATAGAGCAGATAATTCAGTCAAGTGGTTTTCCCAATCATCATTCTCACACACCACCTGGATCTGCAGGTATGATAAATTTCTTTAAAAAATTCATCATCATCTAGAATTATTTTATCAGATCACTTATTTTTAAAATACTTATAATATAGCTTTAGTTACTTTTTATGAAATATGATAAAATAAATAAAAATTACATTTTATATATAAATTACAAGCTACACATCTATATATATATACGAGGTATGTTACCGGCAAAACCCGATTTCAGGATATACTAGTTTAGCCTAAGACGGGCCGCCAAACTTTTTTGATTGTCGACCCCCACCAAAAAGTTTGTGTTACAAGCAAAAAAAAGCTCTTACTATTTTAATATATATCTTTTAATTTTACATTTTTTACATTTATTGTACATGTGTTAATAATAATTTTTGTAACTGACAATCAATGAAATGGATAAGCAAGATTAACAATATTTGGTTCAAAATTTGTAAGTTTTAGTCTTTTCAGTGACCCCCCAATAAGTGGTATATATCCCCCCGCCAAAGTGGTATATATCGACCCCTGGGGGTCGATATATACCACTTTGGCGACTCCTGGCCTAGGATAATCTAGTTTGGCCTAAATACTTTAGGCTTAACTAGTTTGACCTAGGCCGAACTGATTTATGTACTACAAATAGGTGCCAGTGTAAAAAAAAATGATTTTGTGTAATTCGAAATGCCACCACAGTACACCCAGTAGTTAAAGTGTACCTAGGTAACCCCAATGGTGGTGCTTCGGTTAGGTTAACTACATTTTTAGACGTTTCTCTTTTGTTCAAGAACTACCATGAATCAATAACTAGTGACGTTAAACAATGGGTGGCCTGCCAGCAGCTCCCCTCCAGGAGGAGTCTGCCGGGAACAGTCCAAAGTGCCGCCATTGGGGTTACGTAGGTACACTTTTATTTATTTTTACAGGGTGGGTTAAAGATTAAATATTTTATATGTTACACTAAGAAAGACAAACAAGTTCATTTTTAATTTTAGTTTGGACTTTAAAAGATATTTTTATTATTTCGTTTGAATTTTTGAAAATATTTTCGAAAGTTAATTACCTTTAAAAGTGCATGGCTTAATGAAAAAATACAAACTGATAAAAATAAGCTAATCAGTACTTATTGTTTTGTACAAGTGTTGTGTCACTTCTAATCAGTATTTTTTTTTTTTTTTTTTTTT